CTTAAAGTCGACAGGTACTATTTCTGTTGGATACTTGAAATTTTAGCCAGAAGTAGTAGATGGGATGTACTTTTAAAAACATTTACAGTTTTCTGCAACAAAATATGTCGTTTAAAAAGTTTAAATTTTTTTAATGATAAGGTACATACTAACTAAAAACAATTTTTATTAAAAGCACATGGTTTAAAAAAATCAGTTTATCAAATGTTCAAAATGCTTCTAAAATGCTTCTAAACATTTTAACAATCTTTTTTTCAACATGATTAGTTGTTGCTTTACGAATCATTTCACCATCTAACTCGTTAAAGGCATTCCGAACTCTTTGCTCTAATTCTTCTTTAGAATTAATTTGGTTAGAGTACACTAAATTTTTAATATGACCCCATAAAAAAAATCAACAGGAGTTAGATCTGGCGATCTTGCAGGCCAAAGCCAAGGACCATTTGGACCTATCCATCGGTCTTCAAAGAGTGCTGTAATTTCTTGATTTACATAGTATGTTGAATGTGCTGGGGCACCATCCAACTGGTACCAAAAATTATTATTTGGTAGCTGGTTTAAAATGTCGGCAACTACTTCTCTAAGAATTCTAATGTATCTTTCTGAGGTCAGTCTTTCATTATAAATGTAATAAAAAGCTCTTCCAAAACCGATCACTGCAAACACATTAAAACTAAATTCGTACTGAAATTGTGCTTCACGATAAAAATGTGGATTTTCGTTTGCCCAGAAATGACATTGCTTGCGATTGATGATCCCTTTACGTGTAAATTTCGACTCGTCTGACCACAAAATTTTGTTTAAAATCTCGGGATCTTCTTGAATTCGTACCAATAACCATTCGCATAATTCAGTTCGTCTTATTTGATCACCATCTCGCAACTCATGAACTTTTCTTTGTGCATAGGGATGCCATTTATTTAGTGCTAAAATTCGTTGTATTGACTCGACTCCTGACTAATATTTAAATTATCTTGAGCCATTCTAATGGAGGCGTGAGGATACGCAGTAAAATACCCTAATACGTTAATTAGATTAACTTCTTCATCTCGGACATAATGTTGACGGTTTCTTCCCGGGTTTTGTTTAAAATTATTCAAAAAGTTAGCTTCGATTCTATCAAATTTCTGTCTGTTTATTGGTGGTAAATGAGGGTATCGTTCATTAAACATGCGGCAAGTTCTACTTTTGATTCGATTACATTCTCCATGAATGTAAAATAAATTAAGAATATCTTGGTCGGTATATTCTTCAATATTTTCCATATTTTCCATATTTTGAACGCAAAAAATACACAACTTAAATACATAGAAATATGACAATTCAGTTTGTTGACAGATTGTTGTTTAGCATATTTCCATGGCATACTAAGATAAAAAATTAAAATGAAAAACTATACTATATTATGTAGGTGCATGCGTAAAATTTAAATTTAAATTTTCTTAAAATTGGCGAGAGATAATTATAGGGAATTAATAGTGCAAATGAAGATCAATGAAGAATAATTTTCTGAACAAAATGAAATAAAAATATTCAGGATTTTCCATTTAAAATAAAAAAATTTTTCATGTTTAAAATATTTATTTTTTAAAATAATTTCCAAACACACAGTCGAACAAACGATGTACAAGTAAATTTAAAAAAGCAAATGTCTGCCGGCATATAAAAGTTTATAAAAAACTGAATAACGCCAAATACACTATAATTAGAATAGGCGAATGGGGTATCATTGTTTACAGAATTTCATGCTGAATCTAAAATTTAAAAAATATATAGGGTGTTCAATTTAAAATAAAAAAGTTTTTTATGTTTAAAAAATTTCATTTTTAAAAATAATTTGCAAACACCCCGTACAACAAATAATGAATAACTAAATATTCTCAAGAAGTACATCCCATCTACTACCTCTGGTTAAAATTTTAAGTATCTGATAGATATAGTACCTGAGATAGACGACTTTAAGAAAATGTCTACCGGCGACTAAAAATGTAGAAAAAAATTGAATAACGCCAAATCCGCTATAACTAGAATAGGCAAATGGGGTATCGTTGTTTACAGAATTTCATGCTGAATCTAAAATTAAAAAAAATATGGGGTATTCCCTTTAAAATAACGAAGTTAGTGGTCACTTCCGGTATAACCGGAAGTTGCACAGAGTTTATTTTATTTTAATTCAAAAGAGCATATTCGATTATGTATACTCAGAAAATGGCGAAAATACAAATTAATTTATTCTCCATAAAGTTGTAATGCCCGCCTTACGTGGGACACGGTGTATTACATTTTCTAAAAAAAGGGACAACTTTTAATAGAGAATTAACATTACTGAACATGCATAATTCTTTAAACGATTGAGTTGTAGTAAATCTTCTTCTTCAAAGTAATTTCGGGTATAAATATGACTACAATATCCCCTCTAAAGGCGTGCCTATGTTGGTACCAAGTGATGGACGATGTTGTCTTTCTCGTCCAGCTAGTATTGAAATTTGGCCAGATACGGAATAAGGGTAAAGGATAGATATAAAATTTAGTATTGCTCGATATTGCGAGGTAGGAAATTTTATTACATTAGATAATTTTGTTTTTAATATAGAATTTGCAATGTTTCAATATATTTAAAAAATATTTTGATTAAAAAATATTAGGTTGAAGAATTGTATTTAAATAATAGGTATATATTTTCTAAAATAATTTATTGTGCAAAGAATATCAACCAAACTACTAAATGATTTTGTTGCTGACTGCTGTTGTAGCGATCAGATAATTTGTGGACTGTATATTTTTTGCAGAAAGATTAGCTGCCATCTTTTAAGCTTAGAATAAATAAATTGAGAAGATGACTTAATTTTTTATTCCATACTTCCATACGCTGTTTTTTCAAACGTCATTCAAAGACGGATCTTTAAAAACACAATTAATGTTTTCCAAAACCACATTTGTTAAGGTAGGTGCAAAATTATTTCGTCTCAGTTTTTGTTTAACAGAAGGTCAAACTAATTCAATTGGATTAGATATAGGACAATAAGGTGGTAACCTCAATACAGTATGACCACCATCTTTTGCAAAATTATCAATAAAATGCTGTATTGAAATATTCTTAATTTTAACAATTTGTTACAATTGTGGTTTTATTTTTACGGAAGCAGGAATGTCAATGTTATCTTTTAAATATATCTGATTTCTTAGAACCACTATTTGGCTTTTTGTGAATTTGCCAGAAATGGTATGCATTGTCCATTCCAATGACTGAATTAGGTGAAATATTCGGTAAAAGTTGTTCAGCAAACCAGATCTTAAAAACTGCTGCATTCATATCTTCATGATAATCCAGCAGAGCTTTATTGATATTTTTTGCAAAAAGTAGCAAGGCTTTTGGTACAAAGCCTTTCCGTCATGTAAAATTATGACTCGTTTCCCCTTGGAGCATGGTGTATTTAAAACACAATTTTGTGAACCATCTGCCCAACCACGTTGAACGACATCATGAGTGTCGAACCATTTTTTATCTAAATAAACTATATTTCTATTACTATTTCTAAATTTGAATATTTCCTTAAAATAAATTTGACGTAATTCCACAGTTCGACGCCATTCCATAATGTAAATTAGATTATCTTTTATATCTAAAACCAGAAGTCATTCAAATTTGTCGAAGTGATTGTAATGGTTTATATTTGAAATCTTCAAAATTTTGTAATTTTCTAACAAGTATCTCTAAGGTTGGGACTTGATTTAATTTATACGTGTTGTAAACCGTTTAATAACGAAATAAATTGTGAAAAAGACAATTTTTGTTAACTTACATATACTTTTAACTGCACCTGTTTGTGAAATATTTGGATTTTCTGATTTAAGACAATCAAACATATTTAAAATGAGCTATTGAGCTTGAATATATAAGTCCTGATTTTTGAATTCCCAAGATTGTGGTTCACCTTGATTGTCATTAGTATGAATTGCACTATTAATACGTATTTCATTATTAATTTTTATTGCAGTTAATTCTACTTCATCACTATTCTAAATTTCATTATTTATTGGAATTTTATTATTAATGTGAATATCATCATTAACCTGAAATTCATTAGCATCTACATTTACCTCAAAAAGTCTCCAGAAAGCTATCTCGTACAACACAAATCAACATTTAACAGAAACACCGTAAAATAAAAAAAGTTTAACAAACGCTTTGAGAAACAGCAAAAATGTTTCAGACCGTGCACGCTACTGAACAAAGATAGAACAACTGAAGAGCAGCCAGGCGCGTCAGCTATTCTAAGAAATCGCGTGACCGCTTACTTGTGGACTTTACATCAACTGTAGGTGCGTTGAGTATTAAAACTTAATTGTGCTACACCAAGACGATTTCATTTATTTGCAGTATAATTCCTAGCATTCTCTTATAACGCGAATTATTACGCACCCCCGGTACAAACGCCTGTGTTAGATTTAATCTAGAAACAAACTATCAGAATCTTTATGAAGAGCCTAAAGCTAAAACGACTAAGGTCATTAAAAGTTAATTCTCTGTAAATTGAATTTTAAGTTTCGGAAGTCAAATACACTAAGAGCAGAAATCTGAAGAAAAATAAGTTAGTAGACATTTTGTGCAACAGTTATTGGACAATATTATGTAAAGAAAGTCATCACTATAAGTCTTTCAATTTTTAATTAAAAAAGAATTCCAAAATACAAAAAAATACAACACAAAAACGTTGGTTGTCAAAAAAATTATTAAAATCGATCATAGTCAACTATACAATATTCTATGCTGTATTAAAATGCCTTTTCAAAATATACTAAACAACCTAACCTATATAATACTTTTATTTCTGTTTTCCCTTTTTTACTACTGCTTTTCTACGATTTCCATCAGTTTTCTTTTACTTGTTCTTCTTCCTCTTCTTTCTTATAGTCTATTTCTATCACATTATGCAACACATTTTCCGTTTTTTATTCACTTTTCTTGTTAATTTGTGAGGTAGACTGCCATAAAATTCTTAGTCACCATCAGTTTCACAAAACGTTTTTAATTGCTGTAAATTTTCCCATTTTTCCAAACTTATTGTTATGAATTCTGAAAAATAAAATCATAATGATACAAAAAATCTTTAGACTTAATCTAGTAACTCATTACCTATATACTGTTTATCCAGTAGAAAAAATTCGTTAGGCCCTGGCCTTTCTATTTTGTTGATAAAAGCAGTACGAATTATTGAAGTTTCTATGGCCCCATTATAGTTTGAGCGATTTGAAAAATATCTGGGATGCATGGATTTCACTTGAATTTCCCGAAGTGGCTGTATTGCAAATGGAAATTTTACTACATAATATTGGGTTAAATAATTATTCCATTGACGAACGAAACTCTGGTCGAGATCAAAAACTTTAAATGGCGTTAGCTTAGCTCTTGCTCCTTTAATTTCATTAATCCAGTCAGCAGTAGTCTCAGCTTTAGTATTCTGGTTTATGAGGCCCATATTCTTATTGCATTCAAGATAAGAATGTCCCCTTATAGGAAAGGTAATTTTTATCCTGTCAAGTCTTCTAGTAGTTACAACAACGTAATGGATATATCGAAAAATATTATATTTTTGTTTTGCCCCCCACATGAATCGCAAAATATTTCGAACCCTCTTACTCTTTTATCTAATTGAGTAAATATAAAGTGGTGAAGCATAGAAATCACTTCCTCTGATCCTTTAGCAGCCACATTTTCTGAGTAGCAATAGAAGTAAGAATCTGATGTAGAAAGAACATGGATATTAAATGAATAAAATGAAAGCTGACGTTTATAATATTACATCATTAGTGGAAATATTCGGTAGTGGCAATTTTTTTTTGGAAATCCGTAGCAATGCTTTCTTACTCTATATCTTTCATGCTTCTTTTTCTTGCTGCTCGCTTCCTTTCATAAAAAACATCAGCTTTCTTCAGGTGTAACTCATTCTGAATGTCCAAATCTTTTAATTATTGCAGTAGTTCTTCTGTATCTTCTGTGATTGGTATATTTTCGATTTTCCTTTGTAAGCCCAATTTCTCTGCTTTAAATTTGTCACACAAACTGCACGCGTCGCTTTGAGGGTATCCGAATTTAATATTGAAATTATTATTAAATATTTTGCGATAATATTCATATAAGACAAATCCAAGATTTACTTCTGTGTACATTTTGTACTTCTTCTTTAGATTAAGGGTATCTGATAGATAAACCCAGTAGTCTTTTTATGGCTATAATGACTTTGTTTCCCCCAATAATATGATTTTCCCTCATAGTTCTTTTTTATAAGAATTTGCCCTGTCATGAAATCTAGCTAATTCTTTATTTTGTCTTGGGCGACGTGTTTTAATTGGAAACACACTTATTAAACCTGTTGAGTACGAACTTTGTTCGTCTTTAGAAGACATTTCATCAAATTTTATGATTTGTTTACGTTCAAGAAAATCTAATTTTTCAAAACATTTATACCTTGTGCATCTACAGTCTTCGCCCTGCTCGTGGGAACACAGTCTCGATTTTTTCATAACGTCTACTTCTTGTCCAAAAGATTGTCTTTTCTTAGGTCCTATATTTAACTTTTCAATTGTATCCGAGTTACTACTACTATTTTCTTCATTATTTAGTCCTTGGGTACTCATTTTAACAGCAAAAACTACACAATTCAACACGGTATCTTGCTCTGTTGTTTGACTTTATAAAACACTAGAATGTAAACAATAACAAAAATTATTTGCCCTATTGCACGAGTAACACGCACCTCGCACACATTGACTTTAACCATTTTTGCTGTGTTTACCCGTTACACTCATCGTTTTTGCTGTGTACACCATTTTTTGTTTGTGGAATAACTCTCCGACTATGCACGTTATTCCTATGTAAACTAGTTCAGCATAATACAGACTCACAGCTATTCTATCGTGTATTTAACTCATTTTCAGAAAAAAGTGACTCATCGTTTTTGCTGTGTGCTCTTCTTATGTTTTTGCCTAATAATAATTAAGAATAAATTTTTACGAATTTTTGCATAGTTTTCGTCAAATTGCAAACAACTTTTTCAGTGTATTCTCAGTTGATATTATTTTCTTCAATGAAAAGAGACGGATGCTAGACACGACATGACCAGAAAAACCCGCATTTGAATTGATCAGGTGTTGCCGGGGCCCACATACTTTGATTTTCTTTTACTATACGGAGAATGGTCGCACTGCGCAGCTTTCTGAGTGCCTTTTAAAAGGAGATAGAAAACTCCGCCATTTTGAACCCTTATTACGTGTTGCCTACATCTTGGCGCAATATTTTTAATAGGTGCGTTTTAATCATCCGCTTCTGCTTCGGAATTGTCGGTTGTCTTGTTTTAATCTGACAGGTTAAAACGACTAAACCGACAATTCCAGAAGCAGAAGATTAAAACGCACCTGATATTTTGCTTTCTGCTGTCAGTGTCAGTGAATATTATTTTTGGAGTCACAGTTTATTTCTAAAGAATCAGTTAGCTCACTCGGACCAGTTGAAAGTTCCAAAATAACATCCACTCCAAGGATACAAATTCAGGATACGCAGAAGACTGCTGTTTTATTATAGGCGGTTGTCATATATTGTATTATCCGAGTTGCGCAGTGTATAATCTGGAACATTGAGATCAAAAGTGCCGACGCAGAGTGAGCGATCTGATTCTTTAGCTATAAACTGTGTCATAGGGACCAAAATGGCCGCGCCCTATGTTGGGCGTGTCGGACCTCTCTCTTGCCCCGTATAGTAATCAAAGTATGTTATAATTATATGTTATAATTAAATGGTTTCTCTTCGCCTATATAAATCAATAGTCACAATATTCCGAATTGTCCACTACCTATATCAGGAAAAAACTCTGTCAAAAAATCAATCGCTACAGATTTGTCTGAATATCAAATTTTGGATATTCGGATCTAATATTTACTGTTAAACTTTTTGAATCGAAGTTACGTTTTAGAATTTGATTTAGGGATGTTTTGCGGATCATAGCTAGTGTCTCTAGGTCTTTCAATAGACCTCTCCTCAAAAGAATTAGAATTTTAACTCTTGTAAATCTATTTATCTTAGTAATATGTATATATGCCTTTTCAAATCTTAAATTTTTTATTTTAATTCCAAACAATTCACTCTATCAATACTCGACAATGTAAACATTTGTAAATATATCATGTAAGTAACCATATCTTCTTTAAACACATAATAAACTTCCTAATGATAGAGACTCAAACAATTTTAAAAGTTTTAACTCACCCTGTACAGATTTGTTTCGAATTGAAAAAGTAGTGCATCAGCATAAAATGTTGACTAATATTTTACCGCAAAAAATTTGTGAACCTAACCTTAGCAGCGTACGACCCATTTAATGTAATAAAATTATTTCGAAACGATGACTATAGAAGACAGACCAAAGTAGAAAATGCAATATGCCGAAAGAATAAAATGAAATGAGGATGAGTAGGGCACAATAAAATGAAGCATATCTTAAAGTCGATCAGGAGCATCATAAATACTTGAGTTCACTTATAGCGTTTTCGACTGGTCATATTCAGTTCACACGCGTGAAGTGCGAGTTTTCGTTGCTCAGCACTAGTTCAATTTAGTGACTTTATACAAACTTATTCCAACCGAACACGCAGTTGACCACCCAGTGCATTGTATTGTATTTGACAGCTATCATCTGAGTGATAAATAGAAGTAGTACCTTCCAAATTCCAAACAAGATCCAAGACAAGCTTTCATTGCCTCTTAATTATTGGCTTGAATCGCATCGCTTGACAAGTTCTAGAAATTTGCGTTTGTGTGGTTGGTTGTCACATAAATACAGTAAATAGACCAGGGTCGATAATTTTTGAAACAAAAAAAAATAATAGTAGGATGAAACACGTTAAAAAAGGACTAGAATATAACAAACATGAAAGGAAAAATAATTTACGGGCGATCTGAGGTCGGGAAGTGGAAGGGGGTGAGTTTTTAAGGGTAAAAAACGGTGTATCTCGATTTCCGGCAAAACTACAAGTCCTATGGAAAAAAATTAAATAACAAAGTTGTAGGTAATAAAGAGACCTACAACTGTTGTAATTACACTTTTTTCACATAACCTCAAAATTTATGTGAAAAATTCAAATAATCAAGTTTATGCAAAAAAAAATTTTTCTCGAAATATGGTGAAAACTTAACTTTTTATGTCCTAAAGACACTGTAATTTTTTTGATTTGAAATATTTATTTTTTCACCTTATTTTGACTTAATATCGAAAATTCTTGCGTCAAAATATCAGCTTTTTAAAAAAAGTAGTTTTTTGTTTGTTAAAATCTGTTCTTTCTGATAATGTAAAAAAATATATACATTACTATGGTAAATGTTCTCAGAAAATGCAAAGAAAAGAAAAAAACTCGAATCCGAATTTTTTTTTTTTTTTTAATTACTATGAACAATTTTGAGCTATTTAGTAAAATTTACACTTTAATTACTTGAAAAACGTAAGATTCTATGTTACATTGATAAACAAAAAAATACAAATCGAAATATACTACTATAATTAACAACCAAATAAGTTAATATTTAATAAGACATCTACAATATTTTGAGAAAGTTGTAGAATATTCTTTAAATTATTTGCATAGATGCCTATTTATTGCTATTTTAAGATAACTTATATGCCTGAGTTACCTAGTGATAATTTTAGCCCATCAAAAGGTATTTCATAGAGAAGTGAGGAAGGGGCTAGGCGGGTCTAGGTCTTTCTACCTGTTATTTCGTAGCAGCGGTAATGAAAAGATTACAGTCACAAGGATTTTCCTGTAAACAAGCAGAAGAAGATACTAATGCAGACATTATTAAAAGAAATTGCCAGAGATACCAATAAAACTGTCATTGTTGTGGGTCAAGATATTGATCTTTTGGTCCTTTTGAATCAATTAACTTCAAATAATCATGACATTTATTTTCTCAAACCGGTTTCTGAAAATGTAAAAGATCTATTTTTCACGTCTAATAGTTTCAAATATGAATCCATTAAAAATATCGTTGCATTTCTGCATTGTTTTTCTGGTTACGATACAACATCTGGATTTGCCGGAAAAGGAAAGAAGAGTAATGTAAATTCATTATTAGACAATAAAAATGTGTCAAATTTGGCCAATATTTTTTATAAAAAAGATGCAAATAAAAAAGATATCGAAAAAAATGGATTACAATTAATCAAATCTATTTGTAAATGTAAAAATGATAATATAACACTGAATCAATTAAGATTTCAAAAATATCATTTGGCAAAAATGAAATCATCTTTCATATTGGCAAATCTCCCACCCACAGAAGGTGCAGCATTTTTACAGGGCATATTATCAACTTCACACTTGGCTAGGTAACGAACTGACAGCAACAGATTGGGACTGGAAGCAACATCAACGTGCGATTATGCCCAAATTTACAGAGAAGGAGTTCATTCCGGAAATATTGCTCAAAACTATTTGCTGCAGCTGTGCAACTGGATGTAACAGTTTAAAATGTGGCTGCCGAAAACATGACTTAAAATGCACAAATTTGTGCTCAAATTGTAATCGTTCTGAAAAATGCACCAATGTGGAAGAAAAAACCTACGAGGAAGTTAGTGATTCATATGAAATTGTGGATGAAGGACCAATTCAGACTAAAAATAATATTGGATACGAAGACCGTGATGGTCTTGAAGATTTCGAAGATCTACTAGAATCGGGAAGGTTTGTCGAATCTAACGATGAACAAATGCCACCGAAGAGACAAAAAGTAATGGATAAGTGATTAGGGTTCAAGATAAGATTTATAAATAAGAAGATTAATGCATTTTAAAATATTATGAATAATAATAATAATAATCAGTATAAAGTATCTAAATTCAATAGTACGATTTACATTTCTATTCATATATTATGAGATTTTCTATGACATAAATGTAATTAGAATTTAATAAATCAACTTTTTGACTAAAAAAAATTGCAGCAATCTCATTTTTTAATTGAAATCCCTCCCTTTAAATCCCATCTTTAATATTTAGAACAACTATTTTCGCATGTTTCTTGCAATTTTTATGATTTATGGATTTGTAATTTTTTTGTTTATCAATGTAACATAGAATCTGACGTTTTTTAAATAATTAAAGTGTAAATTTTACTAAATAGCTCAAAATTGTACAGTGATTAAAAAAAAAATTCGGATTCGAGTTTTTTCTTTTCTTTGCATTTTCTGAGAACATTTACCATAGTAATGTATATATTTTTTTACATTATCAGAAAGAAGAGATTTCAACGAACAAAAAACTCCCCGACTTTTTTTAAAAAGCTGATATTTTGACGTGAGAATTTTCGATTGAAAATTAGGGTGTTTTTTCGATATTAAGTCAAAATAAGGTGAAAAAATAAATATTTCAAATCAAAAAAATTACAGTGTCTTTAGGACATAAAAAGGTAAGTTTTCACCAAATTTCGAAAAAAAAATTTTTTTTTTGCATAAGATAAAAATAAAAAACCAAAAACTTGATTATTTGAATTTTTCACATAAATTTTGAGGTTATGTGAAAAAAGGGTAATCACAAAAGTTGTAGGTCTCTTTATTACCTATAACCTTGTCATTTAGTTTTTTTCCATAG